GAAATTGAATCCAGGGTCTTTGCACTGAGCTTGGTCCCCAGCCCTTTCTTTTTATTGATTTTTAAAATTTTGCGACAGGATCTCACTAAGTCACAAAAATGAACAAAGAGGAAAAGAACCAATCAGTAAAGGATGTGGATAGACATCTGTACCTCCAAAGAAGATGCACAGACGGCCAGAAAGTTCACAAAAAGCTGGGGAGGGTGGTGCACACCTGAAATTCAGATACTTGGGAGGCTGAGACAGGAGCATTGCAAATCCAAGGTCAGCCTGGGCAGTTTAGCCAGTTGCCGTGTTTCAAAATAAAATGCAAGAAGCGCAGGGAGGAGCTCAAGGACAGAGCCAGTGAAGCCCTGGGTTTAATCCCCAGTCTTACAAAATGAAAAAAAAAATTCATAAAAGCATCCTCAACATCCTTAGTTATTTTTTTAAGTACATATAAAAACCACAGTCAAATACAGCTTCACATCCACTAAGATGACCACACGTGTTTTGTTTGTTTGGTTTTTGAGACAGGGTCTCAATATGCAGACCAGGCTGGCCTTCAACCCACAGTGATTCTCCCTCCTCAGCCTCCTGAATGCTGGGATCACAGGTGTGCGACACCACAGACCTGGGCATACAAATCCTGTCAATTCCCTGGCCTGTTTTCTCAAGAAGTGAGTGACAGTGCACGGTGATGGGTCATCTGCAGTGCAGTGTTTGTCTGAAATAGCAAACTGGCCCAGTACTCTGGGCCTTTGAACACAAGTTGCTTTTTCACCCTTCTCGCTAACACCCTAAAGCTCCCTGGCCCCAGCCCCCGCTGGGAGCTCCTCCCACCCCACCCTTGAGGGGCACGTGACCAGGAAGCTGCCTCTGCCAGAGGCTGTCAGGATCCAAGAGAAATTACACTTCTGTGTCCCTGTCTCCCTGCCTCCCCCCGACACCCCATGGGGCTGTGGCTGCAGGAAACAGGCTGGGGCTCCTGCCGCTTCTGCACTCCGACGACTGGCATCATAATGGCACGAGGCATCACAACAGGCGTGGAAATAGAGTGCACAAATGTAAGGTGCACCCATCACCCCAACCACCTCCCTCACCCGGTCCATGGAAAAATTGTCTTCCACAAAACCAGTCCCAGGTACCAAAAGGGTTGAGGGCTGCTGGTTTGAAACACAGAGGAGGGCCAGGGATTTAGCTCAGTGGTTCTGCCACCTGCCTCGAAAGTGCAAGGTCCTGAGTTCAATCCCCGGTAAGAAACAAAACAAAAAAACACAGAGGAGAAGCCAGGAATGGCGCCACACACCTATAATCCCAGCACTCAGGAGGCTGAGGGAGGAGGACTGCTGTGAACTCAAGGCCACCTCCGGCTACGCAGTGAGTTCAACACCAGCCTGAGGCCCTGCCTTAAAAAAAATTTAAAAATGAATAAAATATGTAGGAGAGTGAGAAGCAAGGGGAACTTGGCGCTTGCCAGAAATACTCTCCCTCTTCTCACAACAGGCCTAAAGAGCGGGCAGAACTTGCTCCAGGCTGGGAGGGAAACCTGAACCGCAGGAGGTTAAGCAGCTTAGGAGACTGTCCTGCCCGCCTCCCCGACATTTCGCCGATGCCCCCGCCCCAGCTGTCCTGCAGGACACACCCCTGGGGCCGGCTCCCAGACCGAGAAGGATCCACAGGCACCCACCGGCGCCCAGCCTCCCCGGCTGAAGGGAGCATCCTCGATGGGCTGTTTGAGGAAATAAAAGCCCCGAATACTCCACCTGGGAGTGGCCAGGCGAAGACAGACCTGCTGGGACGCCTGGCCCTTCCGGTTTCCGGCCCTGGGGACTGTCTGGTCTTGCGCAGCCCTCGCGGCTCAGTGCACGACCCACGGACGTCCAGCACTCACCAGCTTCGCCATCCTCGACAGAGGACCCAGGGCACGTGGCACTCGGTCTCCAGCCTCAACGCCCAGCAAGTGCCAGCAGCCACATGCCCTGGGTTCTTCGTTTTTTATAACCGGGGGGTTATTTTCAAATCAGGGACCAAGGCACCTAGACTTACTTGCAGGCTCCCCCCCCCCCCCCCCC